CACCCCCAGTTCGCTCCTCTCCTTGAAAGGCAAAAGAAAAACTCCTTTATTGGTACATAATCCCCCCCAACCCCGCACATCCCCACTCCCACCCCAAGTATACTCCACTCTGCAACCCTCATTCCGGACTCTTATGGTAATCATAATGCCCTAAAATATATTAATTTTAAACTATTCTCTCCCTCATCGGCTTCAATACAGCAAGCATAATTTATCCAGTTTTTCTCAGTCTTACCCACACCCCAATGTCAGCCTCATTCTACAACAGTTACATTAATGGCCTTAAGCAGCATTTGTCCTTAAGTTGTTCGTTCACTCAACATAAGCTGTTTGGTAACAGAAAATGCACATTCTTTTACAGTTTTTATTGATAATTTGAGTGAAAGTTTACCATGTAAATTGGCTTTTCCTTCACCATTCACATCCATTTTGGTTTATGACATTAATTACTGTCTTGGTTATCTGATGCTACTACAACAGGTATCACAAGAAGTTAGCTTTAACAAACAGAAATGTATTCTCTTAAACTGTAGGTTAAAAGTACAAATCCAGAGTGTTATCTCTAGGGGAAGGGACCTTCTCTCTCTATCAGTCTTGGCAGAAAGTTCTTGTTTAATTCAGACACTGTGGCACTAACGTTCCTTGGAAAGCTCCATATGCTTTGCCTTTCCCTGGTGACTAAGATATTCTTCACACAAAGACCTCAGTCCTCAATGCCACACTCCACTCCTGGCAATTCTTTCTCTAATCTTGCTTTCCTCTCCTTTTAATTTTCCTATGAGAAAAGTCGTCCCCTAGGGAAACTCTCCTTACTTCTATTAGGGCTTTGATGGGACTGGGACATGCTGTATTTCATCCTTAATCCTTTTACAACTACTTGATTTTTTATTTTTATTTTTTCAGAACCTTGGGTGTCATTACATAATTTCCACATTATATCAATACATCTGTGTACTGGGGCAGGGGGAAAAATTCAATCCATGACAACTACAATTCCCAATTTACATCAAACTTTTCCTGGCTCCTTTGATTCTTCCCTTTGATTTTTATTTGCACTGGACCTTCCATATTACCTTCTTCTGCCTAGAAATTGAACTTTTACTTTCTAGGTTTATTATTTGGCTGAAAGTTTGACTAGAAGGGTGAGTTTTGTTCCATTGTTTCCTCTGCTCCACTGGGTGAGTTTTGTTCCAGGCCTCAAGGCTGACTAAGGTCATAGTCCAGGGGTTCCAGCAGTCTCTAGAAGACTGAAAAACTTGGCCACTTTTATAATTTTTAATCTTGTTCCACATTTCTCAGCCACTCTACAAGACCCTCTCCTGTGGTCCCTTTTAGTGATCAGCTGAGGTAACCAAGCACCAAGTCCTTTTTCTGGTCACTGGGGTCATAGAGGTTGATGTTATCAGTATGTTGAACTAATTTAATTGTTTTCATGTTTGTTTGGGTTTGGGTTTTTTTGTTTGTTTTATTCAGTCTTGTTTGCTCTAGTCATAATGAAATCAATAGCTGCACCTTATGATGTAGAATATTGTGTCTGTGGGCTATGTTATGTGACTTGACTGATATTTCTGGAGGCTATGGTCCTTAATCTATTGTTAAGAGGGCATTAACAACAGCAAGTTCATGAGGCCCTAGGGCCAGGAACTCATCCACCCTGAATGTCTGGTTATAGTTAAGCCCTGCTGGCTCTAGTATGTGCATGGATTTATTACAGTTTCAGGGAGCACTAGTGGCCTTGTAACAGGAAGCTACACTGCAATCTCAAAGGCATGAGGTTTGAGGCCACCAGCTGCTCTGTAGAAGGACGGAGGGTCAGCTATAGGTCAGTTCTACCTCAACTGCACACATCAACAACATATAAACATGTAAGTGGAAGTATTGTGTAACAGATCTATATATGGTCATACATGTAGAGCCTTTCACCTGCCTTACCTATCTGCCTTTGTACCCACTTTGAGATTAATGCTTATTATTACTGGATAATGCAGGAGCAGGCAGATAATAGTGTTTCTTTCATTGTCTGCATCTCTCGTGGGAGTTATAGTGGGCATGATCCTTAGAAAGTTGCATTGCTGACCTAAAGATGGCACTTCTCTGCCAGTTCAAATCCACCCAGTACCCTGCAGGAGAAAGATGAGCCATCTCGTCCTGTGTGATTTACAAAGACACCCCCCCCCCCCGGAAGGGTCAGCTAGGAGCAAGTTCCAGCTGCACAGCAGTGAGTTTTGAGGTTTGAATTTCATCTTTTGTGTGCTTCTATGTGTCTTCCCTTTCTTTAGGATACTGTAGTGATCACTTTCAAGTGCTTGGTTTCTTTTGTTTTCATCTCCTTAAAGAGAGTCGATGTATTTGCAGCACATATAAATATATATGTAAAAATATCAGGTGCGCAGTTCAAATCCCCCAGATGCTCTGCTGGAGAAGGAAGGACAATCTCCTCCTGTACTAGTCAGATCTGATTTGGCGGTACACACACAA